CTGAAAGTGGCCGGTTCCTGTATTACATCCAGTTTTCCTGGTTATGGCAGGAGAGCAGTTCCCTGAGGTGACTCATGGGCAGAGGGAGCACCGACATTCATTTATAAATACACCAATGACATGCCAAGGCTCATTAGCTTCACAACCAAATGAAGTGACGAGCGTCCACGAGTGCACAGGGCTCCTCGGGAAATGGCTGGCCCTAGGGAAGGGCAGGAGAGGCACCGAGGGGCTGGAGAACGACCGAACCGATTTCTGAGTATCTCGGCTGAATGAATTGTTTTAGAAATCCAATCACAGAAATGCAAATGGGTGGTTCTCACACAGTTTCCTTACAGCAGAGGGACTCTTTCTTTAAACAAAAGCTTTTAAGGGTGCCAACAGGTGAAACATTTAATATGGTCTCTCCTGATGAGAGCTGGGGAATGGGGGGCCTGAGTGCTGGGGCCTCAGAGGACCCCAGAGCACATCACGGCCCCCAGGGAGGGTGTCCCCGCGCCTATCACTGACCCCAGGATGGGTGCACCCCAAGCATATGACAGCCCCCCAAGTGGGTACCCCCGGAGCACATTATGACCCCCAGGGAAGGCATCCCCAAGCATATCACAGACCCCAGGGTGGGTGCCCCCAGGGTGCATCACAGCCCCCGGGGAGGACATCCCTAGCATCTCATGGACCCCAGGGTGGGCACCCCCAGAATGCATCACAATCCCCGGGGGTGGGTGTCCCCAGAACACATCACAGCCCCCAGGGTGGACATCCCCAGAGTGCATAACAGCTCCTGGGGTGGGAGTCCCAGAGAGCATCATGACCCCTAGGGTAGGTACCCACAGGGCATATCATGGCCCCTGGGTGACCCTGGGGGGCAGGATAGGTGCTGCGTGATCCTGGTCCTGTGTCCAGCTCCCGCCACTGCCCCATCCTGTAACCATCTGGACACAGAGAACGGGCAGTGTTCCATGTTAACGCCAAGGGGAAGAGCCAGCACCCGCAGAAAATGAAGGAAGCTCCTAGGAGCATGAAACAATGAGTCATTTGTATTTATCCAAAGAAAGGGCTCATGAAGTCTTAAGTTTAAACAGATAAAGTCAGACTGGGGTGGGGTGGGAGGAACCTCCCGAGGCTCCTTGAGGAACTGCCTGGTACTGACTGAGGTGGGGCAGGGACAAGGCGCAGGTGCTGGTCTCTCCTTCTGGAACATTCCGCCACGTGTTCCTGGGGGTGGATGGCCCCCCTGCAGGCCGAGCTCGACCAGCACCACCCTGCCCACTCTTCTGTGAGCTGCCCCTGGCACAATGCTTCCTGAGAACCCAAGGACGCGCCCAGAGTGCTCCCAGTGACCACTGAGTGGGTCCCACTGGGAGACCCGCAAAACCGTCAATGTCCCTTGGGCTAGTAGCTGCACGTACCTTCAGTGCTGAAGTCATGCAGCGGGGCTGGTAGACTAGGTGGTCTCTGAGTGCAGTCAATTCTGTCAGTGAGGGAAAGCACTGGAGGACAGCCCTGCCCGAGGCGTAGCCGCGGGAAGGGACGTGTCACTCTGCCCAGCAGAGACAAAGGGTGTGTGGTGTCTCACAGAACTGTCTGGATCCACGCATCCCCGCTGTACAGATGGACACTGAGGCTAAGGAAGGTTAGAGACGTTGCCCGGTGTCAGACAGCCGTTGAATGTGGGGTAAGGAAGAGGAACCCAGGCCAGAGCTGGCAACACTGAAGACCAGGGCTGTTTGGACAGCGGCAGACAACTCACCAAGGGCTCTGCTCCTACAGAATCGGGGGACCCACATTGCTGCCTACCTCGAAAGCCATAGAGAGGACTGGGCATAGGACAAGGAGCAGGAGGAGGGCGCTCAGTCAGTTGGCATGGCAGAGTGGGGGGCGCCGAAAGGCACTGCAGGAGGTGGGGCTCAGTCAGTGCAGGAAGTGGGTGCTCGGTCAGTCAGCAAGGCAGAGTGGGGGCGCCAGAAGGCACTGCAGGCCTGCGTCTGGGGCCTCTCAGCACCAGGACTGGGCTTTGTGAGTGAGGGCTGAGGGTGCAAGGCAAGGGCATGGGTGTTCCCTCAGGCGGGCTCCTGGAGCTGAGATGCATTCACTGCCTTACTTTGTGCGTCTTTTTCTCTGTGCATTATCCGATATTTGGCCTTGTGCACGTTTGACTCAATCAGCAATGATCAGATAAAATTCCCTGTGAAGTTCTTTCCTTTTACTCTATCCTGGGGATGAACAGCAAAATATGTTCACCTATTAAAAATTCATAAAGACATCAAATCCAGCAAGGGAATCTGTACCTGACAAGATGACTGTTGACCCAGGACGCCTCTGGTGTTGGGTGGAGACCATGCGCTTGGGGTCAGCCGGCCATTCCCAGACCTGCCCCTGGCCAGCTGCGAGGCCGCGGTTACACAGCCCCCTGCAGTCAGTTTCTGCATCCATGAGATGGGGAGGAGGACAGCCCTGCCTCACAGGCTCTGGGGAGGGTTACCTGAGACCACGCACGCAGAGCCCCAGGTACAGTGCCCAGCACCCAGGAGGCACGCACTCAGTGTCACATTCTACACTGTAGGAGGCTGAGGCAGGAGGATCACTTGAGCCCAGGAGTTCAAGACCAGCCTTGGGAATACAGTGGGACCTTATCTCTACAAAAATAAAAATAAAAATAAATAAAATTAGCTGGGAGTAGCGGCTCACATCTGTAATCCCAGCTACTCAGGGGCCGAGGTGGGAGGATGGCTTGAGCCTGGGAGGTGGAGGCTGCAGTGAGCAGAGATCAGGTCACTGCACTGTGGCCTGGGCAACAGAGCAAAACCCTGTTTCAAAAAAAAAAAGTCAGATTTAAAAATTGGCAAAAGGTCTCTATGCCTTACAAACAGCCCATGAGATTCCTCTCATCCTATCACCCATGAAGTATTAAGTAGGTCTTGACTGGAGTTCCTGCAGTCTGGTCCAGTCCCTTATACTAGCAGCTGTTTGATGGCTGAGAAGTTACTCACCCGCCCAGTGCTTACAGGAGAAGGCTGGGCTCCAAGACCCAGAGGCTCCAATCTGGCTGATCCTATCCTGAAAGCATGAAATCCAGGTGCATCAGCTACTCCAGGCAGGTTCTCCAGGAAACTCAGGGCGTGTGAGTGGAGAGCTTGGGAGCTGAGTTCTTCCTCAGCTGCTGGGACAGGCAGAGAGATCAGAAGCCTTGGGTCTACACTAGCAGGGAGCAGCTATTTTTAAGTGACATGTCTCAGCTATTTCGAGGTTTGGGTTTTTATTTTATTTATTTATTTCTGTACTTTCTCATGACTCACATATTTCAAAATGGTGTCTCGGGCATTTTTAATGCTGAAATCATCTCGACTCCACAGCTGGTCAAAAAAATAGTCTAAGAGCAAATCAGCTCTTTATCATCCAAATAAAAAAAATGTACATATTAATCAAACAGCCACCGCTGGAAGAAACCCATGTTAGTATTTTTCCATTAAAAATTTAACAGCATTCAGTTTAGGAAATACGTGTATATTTCCTCAAATATGCTCTGAAAGACTCTGAATTGGTATGGCACAGATGCTATGAGGCGCCTCTGCAACAGGCTTCCCACATCACGGAGCAGGAAGCTCCCTGGTAGGCCGCCGAGGGGCCGAGTGTACCTGAGGCCCTGCACCCCACCTCCTCTACCTGCACCAGCTCTCCTGGGTGGGGGAGCCCACGCGGGCCTCTAGACCCGTGCCTCAGGCTGCAGCAGCCCACATTATTCACATTCAGTGGACAAAGGATCACTCAGCATTCAATCTCACCGCTTCAAAAAATTACAGAGGGAAATGGCACACAGAAGTCGGAGTGTGATTCGCTGCAGTTCAGTTCTGAGAAAGACCCTCCCCTCAGCCAGGGCTGGTAGTGCCTGAGGATCCCCTAGGCCTGACCAGCCCACGCAGCATGCGGGTCGGGTGTGGGGCCTCTCTGCCCTCACCAGGGTGGCAGACCACAGTTCTCCAAGAGGTGGGTAAAATTCAAATGGCCAGCAGGTGGGACACTCGGAGGTGGCGTGAGGCTGTTCAGAGGCCCTGGGAGGGAGGTTTATTCTTGGCCGCACGAGGAGGTGAAATTGCAATCATGAGCAAGGGAGGTGGCCCTGGTGGCTTTATCAGCGGGAGGGCAGGTAAGTTTGGAGGCTTCTGAACGAGGGCAGGTGCTGGGGCCTGAGGCTCAACCAACACTTGGAAAACTATGCGCTGAGGGCCCCCATCTGAATGCTTGGGACCAGAAGAGTTTCGGATTTCAGATTTTTTCAGATTTTGGAACATCTGCAGATAGAGAATGAGATATCCTGGGGATGAGAACCAAAGCTAAATACAAAATTCATTTGTGTTTCATACATACCTTGTACACACTGTCTGAAAGTAACTTTATAAAATACTTGAAATAATTTCATGCATAAAACAAACTTTTAACCGTGCCTGGACTGCAACCTGCCACACGAGGTCGGGTGTGGAAGTTTCCGCTTGTGACTTCATGGCGCTCCAAGGGTGTTGGATTGCGGGGCACTCGGGATTTCAGACTTCCAGATACTCAATCAGTACTTGGATTCCTAATTTACATGTCAGAAATGCCTGCTATTTCTTGGGTTGACATTTCTTTCTGCAAATGTCTGAAATTCCTAAGTTAAATTCTCTATCATCCACATGCTACTAAGCTATTATGAAATTTCATATTTGAAGTTGGTCAGCTGCAAAAACAAGAATATTGCTTGTTTCAACTCAGGATGACAGGTTATTACCTAAAGGACACACAATAGCTAGTATAATGCCTTCAAACTTAAAGAAAAGTATGTATCCGTGGGTAAAGAAAAGCAGTTAAACCAGAAACTTCCATAAAAACATGTCTAGTGGAACTGAGCTGATTGCCAGAGTGTGGGAGAAAAAGGGCCAGCAAAAAAATGGTTAATGCTAGCCTTCTGAGGAGGAGGCCTCCCAGAACCCAGCCGGAGAGGAGCAGGCGGAGGGGCCTATAAAGCCTGGTGCCAAGGGGCGAGACTCACTGGCTCAGAGGAGGACTCGCCTGCCAGCAGGGAAACTTCCCTCCAGCTCCCAGGGCAGGTCTCGTCCTCTCTCCAGCCCTGCTCAGGCATTTGGCAGGTTCAGGTCCGGCAGAAGCACAGCTCCTGCAGCTCCAAGCACACCTCCAGCCTGATGGGACCAACCGAGGAGGCTCCCAAGAGCACAGGAGTGGCTGCAACCCAGGTAGGACTCAGCCTCAGGCTCCAGGTTCTGGGGCCTGCTGGTGCCGCCCCACTGACTAGGGGCGCAGGGGGTGGTGCCACCCAGGCCACTGTCCTGTTATGGGATCAGCTGGACGCAGACGTGCACTGACACCTCACCCTCTGGTGGCAGCTGCACCCCACTTCCCAAACTCAAGGCACAGACCCCTCTCCCAGTGAGCTCCCGTGCTCTCAGCAGGGGGCTTTGCCTGGATGGCCACAGCAGGGGGCTTTGCCCGCCTGGCCTCTCTGAACAGGTGCTGAAAGCAGGGCCCAGGATTCCATCACATTCTATCCTAGCAAGAACGTGTCTCACTCAGGAAAGTGAGGGTGCCCGCTCTGCCCTGCACCGTGGTGCTCCGTCACCCTCACTAACCCTGCAGTCCTGGAAGGGCCACACATCTCTTTACAGATGCAGACTTAATACGGCTGCCTCCAGCGTTATGTTTCTATGATAAGCAGAGGAAATCTGAAGTGAAGTCTAGGACTGTTAGTAACTCCATGGCCACCTCGGGGTCAGCGGGGAGCTGCACACTTGGCTCCTCTCACCCAGGACCACATGAGACACTAGGACATATCAGAGAGACACGAGGTACCGTGTCTTCTCAGTGTCCGCCAAGGACCAAAAGACTCAACTTACATGGGAAAGAAATGAATGGCCCATTTATTTTTCCCTCGGAGTTCATTTAACAAAGTTAGGGAAGAAAAGAAACATATGTTAAGGGCTCTGTCCACCTTTGAAATGCCTGCCACGCTGCAGTCTAATACTTTCCAAAATTTCTACATGTAAAGAGCAAACCAAGCCCTCTGTGCCGTTTTTAAGAAATTAAATACAGAGGCTAAATACAGAGGCTTTCAACCTTCCTGACAGAGCCTGAGAACAGAAGCGTTTATGCTGCTCAATGCTATTACCTACTAAAGATGAATCAGGAGTGCAAAATAACCAATAAAATCAAATCTATCAGCCACAGCTAAGTGAAGGTTATTGGATACTTTTTTTTTAAATTGCATTTTAGGTTTTGGGGTACATGTGAAGAACATGCAAGATTGTTGCATAGGTACACACGTGACAGTGTGATTTGCTGCCTCCATCCCTATCACCTGTATCTGGCGGTTATTGAATACTTTTAAAATAACTGACACCAAGGCAGGGATTCATCTTGTCTTCCCCTACCCTTCTCTTTTGAGACGGGGATCTCACTCCAGTTGCTTAGGCTAGAGTGCTGTGGTGCAATCTTGGCTCACTGCAGCCTCAACCTGCTGGGCTCAGGCAATCCTGCCACCTCAGCCTCCTGAGTAGCTGAGGCTACAGGCATGCACCACTGTGCCCAGCTACTCTGTATTTTTTAAGTAGAGACAGGGTCTCACCATGTTGCCCAGGCTGGTCTCAATCTCAAACACTTGGACTTGAGCAATCTTCCCATCTCATCCTCCTAAAGTGCTGGAATTACAGGCAAGCCTTTTTTTTTTTTTTTAAAGGTATTTTCAGGCAATAGGTCAATAAATCTCTAGTCTGGTTTTGCGGCACTTCAAAACAATAACTCCTGGCTGGGTGTGGTGGCTCACACCTGTAATCCCAGCACTGTGGGAGGCCGGGGCGGGCCAATCATTTGAGGTCAGCAGTTCGAGACCAACCCGGCCAACATGGCAAAACCTATCTCTACTAAAAACATAAAAAATTAGCCAGGTGCAGTGGCTCACACCTGTAATCCCAGCACTATGGGAGGCCAAGGTGCACAGATCACTAGAGGTCAGGAGCTCGAGACTGGCCTGGCCAACATGGTGAAACTCCATCTCTACTAAAAATATAAAAAATTAGCCAGGCGTGGTGGTGCACACCTGTAATCCCAGCTACTCGGGAGGCTGAGGCAGAAGAATCACTCTAATCTGTGAGGTGGAAGTTGCAGTGAGCCGAGATTGTGCCACTGTACTCCAGCCTGGGCGACAGTGAGACTCCATCTCAAAAAAAAAAAAAAAAAAAAAAAAAAAAAAAAAAAAAAAAAAAAAAAAAAAAAAAAAAAAAAAAAAAAAAAAAAAAAATCAAAACAATAACTCCTAATGATTTCGAAGGGTAAAATGAAAACTCCCAAAGGAAAAACAACTCAAACCCATTTTGAGGTGTTGGCTTCCTCCAGGGCACCAGCACCACCTGGGCCGGGTAATTCTTTGCTGGGCTCGGGCACCTGTCCTGTGCACCGTAGGGAGCTGAGTGGCTGCCCTGGCCCCACCAGCTTGCCCCTAGTTGCAACAGCCCCCATATCCCCAGAGACCACCAGTGTCCGCAGGCTGAGAACACCCAGGGGCCCGAAGCATAGAGAACTTCCAAGAACACAGTGAGACAGGGGGAGTGAAGGGATCCTCCCCACCACAGCAGAGCCAGGGCACCGCCGCAGAGACAGCCCACTCCTCTCCCTGAAGAAGCAGAGCTTGGGAGGAGGGAGTCTCTCCCTAGAGTTTCTTCCTAGGTTACAAACAGCGCTGCAAAATATATTAGGTTTTACAATAATTTGTTAAAACGCGGAATAAAACTTAAATATTATTTCCCAAAACAATGACCCCTTTCATTCTGTTACGGAAATAAGTTTCATCTCTGGCATATAAACATAGAACTAGCATGAGCAAACCGCTGAATTTCTGTGATCTATTTTATTTTAAGAGAAGATTCTGCTCCAATTTCCAGCTTTCCAGACCCACTCTCTTTCAAGAACACTGGGCTTTTCCTTCCGACCTTACTTCTTGCTCCATCAGCTGCTGAAATGCATTTTCCCCTCTCCTCACAAATGCTATTTTCCTGGGGCTGCTGTGCCCACACACCTGTTGCTTCCTGGGCCTGCTCTGTGGCTATAAAGGGAAAGAACACCCCTGCCTGTGGGGGTGACTCACGTCCAGCCTCCAGCTGCAGCTGAGCGGCCATGGGACCTGCAGGAAAAAAGGCCACATACTTCCCACAGGTGACTCTTCCACCCCAGCTCAACCACAGCTACCTCCTGAGCTCATAAAGCTGAAGTTCTGGCCCTCCCTGGGCTCCTGACATACTCAGACTCCATGGACACCCGGCCAGGGGCGCAGGACTTTGTCCCAAAGCTGGGGCCACTCAATGAGACTTAGTTCTCTCCTGTTGCTTCTCCAGGTACCCAGAAAGTGAGGAGCTCCACGCAGGACTGCACACGTCGGCCAACACCCGCAGGGATGCCCACTGGATGAGCACGAGAGGGCCCTTGCCTCCATGGGCGTGCCATGCCAGCGGGCAGAGCATCTGTTTTTCCCACCCTCTGCAATTAACAAACCCAACCCAAACTGCCACAGGTGTTCCTCGTGGGGAGTTTCCTGTCCTACAAATGCTGGGCTCATTTCGAGGAGAGTCACGTTTCTTTCTAAAGATGGATTCATTGTTTGAAACAGATCTCTGGGAGCCTTCCGGCAAATCTTGAAAGCCGCACGGCGCAGAGACATGGATGTTACTTCCCAAGCCCAGGGCATGGGCCTGGAGATGTACCCAGGCACCGCACAGCCAGCAGCCCCCAACAGCACCTCCCCCGAGCTCAACCTGTCCCACCTGCTCCTGGGCACCTCCCTGACAAATGGGACAGGCGAGCTCTCGGAGCACCAGCAGTATGTGATCGGCCTCTTCCTCTCGTGCCTCTACACCATCTTCCTCTTCCCCATCGGCTTTGTGGGCAACATCCTGATCCTAGTGGTGAACATCAGCTTCCGCGAGAAGATGACCATCCCCGACCTGTACTTCATCAACCTGGCAGTGGCGGACCTCATCCTGGTGGCCGACTCCCTGATCGAGGTCTTCAACCTGCACGAGCAGTACTATGACATCGCCGTCCTGTGCACCTTCATGTCGCTCTTCCTGCAGGTCAACATGTACAGCAGCGTCTTCTTCCTCACCTGGATGAGCTTCGACCGCTACCTCGCCCTGGCCAGGGCCATGCGCTGCAGCCTGTTCCGTACCAAGCACCACGCGCGACTAAGCTGCGGCCTCATCTGGATGGTGTCCGTGTCAGCCACGCTGGTGCCTTTCACCGCCGTGCACCTGCAGCACACTGATGAGGCCTGCTTTTGTTTCGCGGATGTCCGGGAGGTGCAGTGGCTGGAGGTCACACTGGGCTTCATTGTGCCCTTCGCTATCATCGGTCTCTGCTACTCCCTCATCGTCCGGGTGCTGGTCAGGGCACACCGGCACCGTGGGCTGCGGCCGCGGCGGCAGAAGGCGCTCCGCATGATCCTGGCGGTGGTGCTGGTCTTCTTCGTCTGCTGGCTGCCAGAGAATGTCTTCATCAGCGTGCACCTCCTGCAGCGGACGCAGCCTGGGGCCGCTCCCTGCAAGCAGTCTTTCCGCCATGCCCACCCGCTCACCGGCCACATCGTCAACCTGGCAGCGTTCTCCAACAGCTGCCTCAACCCCCTCATCTACAGCTTTCTAGGGGAAACCTTCAGGGACAAGCTGAGGCTGTACATTGAGCAGAAAACAAACTTGCCGGCCCTGAACCGCTTCTGCCACGCCGCCCTGAAGGCCGTCATTCCAGATAGCACCGAGCAGTCGGATGTGAGGTTCAGCAGTGCCGTGTAGCCAGCCTCGGCCGCAGGGGAGCCGCGGGGTGTGACTCTCAGGAGCTGCACGCACCTGGGTGGACAGAAGGCATTGCCACGTCCTGTCTCTATACTGTGGCCAGATGTGGCTACCGGCTCCTTGGGGCCTTGAGAGGGTCATGGTCAGATGTGGCTACTGGCTCCTTGGGACCTTGTGAGGGTCACACTTGCCTGGTCCCCCTGAGGGTGCTGAGGCAACCTCAAGACAGGTCCTTCTTGATTTTGCAGTGCTCACATAGAATTGCTACAGTCAAAAAACGCTCGCCCTGCAGGGTCCAAAGGCCAGCAGTGACTAGTCTGTTGCCCAGCTCCTCCCCACACAACCTGCCTGCCGCCACAGGAAGTGGTTCTGACGCCTTTGACCATGAAAGCCACACAGAGAGGCTGCTGTGGATGAAGTAACTTAGTGACACGGTGACCCTAAAGCAAATCTACCACTGTAGGAGAGCTGACGCTGGAGATACAAGGCACTGGCGGGGCTGAGCTACATGCCACTGTGTGCCCTCTGCACCTGCAGTCCGGAATGCACGAGGTGCGAGCTACCACTGAGCTAAGGAGAAAAAGGAAAACACACTGCTCTGGTGCACACCTGAGCATCCTCCATTTTCCAGGACAGCAGCAATGGCGCTGCGTGGCCTCGCCACACCCACGAGGAACACCGGGAGTTCGGCCCGTAGCAGCAGGAAGGCCTCTCTGCCAAGTGCCCGCTGCACCCTCCATCTTCCAGGACAGCAGCAACAGCACTGCGCGGCCTCGCCAGGCCTGCAAGAAGCACCGGGTGCTCGGCCCATGGCAGCAGGAAGGCCCCTCTGCCGAGTGCCCGCCGCCTGCTCCAAGGCATTCAGCTGCTGCTTATTTACATCATCATGGCAACCACACTCACGTGGACAGACACTGTGCGAGCGGCCGTGCGGGTTAAAGGGGTGCCAGGACAATGAAATACTCCAGGCAAGTGTGGCTGACAAATTTGCTTTTGCAGAAATAACAGTGGGGACAACTGCAGTGATGATGTAAAAACCTTCCCATAAAATGTAAGAAAAGCTGATGAGGCTGGGGATGCTAGGCCTTTGTCAATAAAACAGTCATGTGTGGATTCTTCCAGAGGCTCTGTCTTGGGGGTCTGCCAAGTGGGGTGGGCATGGGGCTCTCGGGAGCCCCTGTACCACAATCCCTCCCTGGTCACGGAAAACACAGCCCTCCCGTGCTGCCCTGAAAATTCTCACAAGGCAAGCCTCTAGGTCTGGCCGACCGGACCTAACCTAGCATTTCTAGGCTGTGCAAAAAGCCGTGTCCTGACACTTCTGCTGTTATGCTTGGGCACCATGACGAGCCTCATATGAATGCAGGAGACAGGGCTCAGCCTTTCTTAAGTCTCAGCAGCCTGTGCGACATAAGCTGCCTTTCTAGAAGGCTCTGGGCTGCATGCGAGGCCAAAGTGCTCTGTGGTTCCCAGGCGCTTCAGAAGCGGCCAGTTGGGAAGGTTCCTGCTCCTCCTCCCACCACTGGGGCCTGATCCCAGCACTGCTCCCCTCCCTCCTGCCTCACTCACCTGGCAGCAGGTGGTCCCTGATGTTACCAAGGTGTGCCTGAACCAGCGCCTGCTGCTCAGTCTGCACAGAAACCCGTGCAGGGAGCAGGAAGAAACCTCACGACTGGTCCTCCCAACAGAGGGCCGGGATATGTGGGTGAGGAATCGAACGTCTGCGCTCTACCCCTTCACTTCACGTGTTTGCGGTTCTATTCCGCTTAAAGCCATGATACTGTTTTTTATTTGTGATGACATAAAGTTTGATTTGCAAATACACTGAAAGGAAAAGGCAAGCCAATTTAAAGAAAACATCCGCAAAGGGAGCAGGTGGTTCACAGATACGGCACACCCAAAGCCTAAACGCAGCCACACAGCGAGCCCCCAGCTCTCTCTCCTCCTGTCTGTGGGACATGATGCAGCCACACAATAAGTCCAGGAAACTCTCTCTCCTCCCGTCTGTGGGACATAAGGCAGGGGAAACTCACTCTCTCCTGTCTGTGGGACATGAGGGAACCACACAGTGAGCCCAGGAAACCCTCTCTCCCCTCCCCTCTGTGGGACATGAGAATTTGGGTCTCTCAGCCGGGAAGAGCCTGTATTCTCCATGACCTCAGCACCGTGGTGCCAGGATCCTCTCAGGAAGAGGGCGCTCGGTGCAGACCGTGGCCTGCAGGCATAGCATCTGCCCACTTCCATCAGGGTTGCCTTCCCCACAAACACCCCGCAGGGAAGCCTGGGAACAGGGCAGCTCCCATACACCAGTAGGTCTCAAGAAAGTGGAGACTCCTGTGGCGTGGCCAAGCCAGAAGCCAGGCTCACGCGTGGCACAGTCCTGCAGAACACTGTGGGTGTCTTCAGCCACAACTCAGGCCCGGAGCTTCCTTCCCTCTGCCCCCCAAGAGGCTGCCCTGCATCACCCCAACTAAAAGGACACAGACACCACCCTGACAGCCATGCTCCAGAGCTCCTTGAGGCCTCAGGGGTGGGACTTGCCCTCCTCCCAGCGATGTCCTCACTGCAATACCCAGGACAGCCAGGCATCAGCCCCCAGGAACCCCCCACGCCAGGGCGCTGTCTTTATAAGACGCGTGATGCACATAAGTCCACCTTTTGACCTCAGTGTTGTTGATTGGGAAAGACCATCCAAGTCCCAGAAAGCAGGCGGGATGGTCACTCTGCCACCAGGCTCTCCCCACACAGCATGAACAGGGCAAGGGCAGACGCTTTACAACATGCAGAGACTAGAGACCCAGAGTTTCTGACTTCCAGCTCTCACGGACGGCTGTGTGGAGACCAACACGGAGCATGGTCTGGTCCCTGCTCATCACAGCAGCCCCACAGGGTGAGCATGTCCACGCCATGCCAATGAGGTGCCAGAAGGTCGGTCACTGCTCGAAACCTTAAATGGTGGGTAACACAGCCAGGAATTCAGCTACACTCTCCTGGCCCAGAGCCCACGGTCCTGCCCCGTCTGTAGCACTCAGCAACCTCTGGCGCCTAACTGGCAAAAGCACGCCATGCAGACATCATATGGAGCAGGAGCCACAGGCATCAAGGGGTCACCCAAGGTCACCAGCCCATCCTCCTCTAAAGCCCGCTATTCGGGAAGTGCAGGGACGGTGGGGAAGGTTTCACTAAGGAGATCTGGATGGCAATGCATCTGAACAGAGCCCCAGGGGCAGGACTCCACTCATTTCTCCACGTCAACACACCACGGGGGACAGCACGGGCTGTGTGGTGTCCTTCCCTCCCTGCCGCAGACACGGCTTCCATCAGGGCCCTGCTCCATCTCTGGGACAGAACAAACCTGCTCCTTCCCGTCCATGGCAGACACTGCTGTGAGTGCGTGGAAGCGACAGGCTGCCTCTCTACGCCACTCGCCTCCACTGGGGTTCTTCCGAGGACTTGCCCCGAGGCTTAGGGCAGACTGAGCTGACTCACTGTCATCTAGCCACCGGAAGCAGACTCTCGACTGCGAAGCTGGTGGCAGCACTGCTCTGAGGCTAGTCACAGGAGCGACAGGCACCCAGCAGCCACGTCACGGGGCTGCAGTAAGGGCAGGTGCAAGGTTGAGTGAGAGGCCCCCACACGGTAGAGCTAGCCTGGGAGCTGGGGCCCTGGAGTCCCTGACCCTGAGATCCCAGAGCTGGGAGCTGTGGGACAGGGACCAGCAGGCCGGGCAGGGACTCTGTGGGTGCTGCCGGACCAGTCACACACACCCTTCTCAAGTGCTTGTCTGGGAGCCAGGGCAAATGTAATTATTTTTGGCAGGCGCACAGTAAGATAAAATCAAGGCGTCTTAACTGCTCTGTTGTTTCCTGGTAACCCAACTCTCCTATACATAAGTGCTTTTTAAATCCCATAAAGAGCTCCAAAGTATGTAACTGCAAGCATGGGAAAAACCCCTGTGTTGGTGGTGAACATGACTTCATCGCTCTTTGTGCTTAATAATTAACTCTTGACCTCATGGGAGTGCACGGCCTACCCGCCCTTCCCAGGCCCCGCACTGCCCGCTGAGTGAGAAACGGCAGCAGTGGGGTCACTAACGCTCGTGTGCCCACTCACCTGCAGTCTTGGGGGGTGGGTGGGGCAGAGAACTACAAATAAACCTCCTTAGGAGGGTGTTTCTGCAGTGGTATGGGAAGCCATTCTGAGGCCATCCTAGACATCCATTAACTGGGCATAGGAGGAAATGCGTGGAGCCTCCTGAAGCTGGGGCTCTCCCGGCAGAGGACGGAGACAGGGCAGGCAAGGGGAGCCGGTGGGAACAGTCGGGGCTGAGGGCAAGGCTTAACCCAGACATCTAAAGTAAGCAGCACACAGACTATGCAAGTACACGCACATGTCTGTGTGTGTATATCTCCAGCGTGCTTGTGAACAAGTGTCTACGGTGTGCATGTGTTTGAACACACACAGACACACACTCTCACCTGTTCCAAGTTCCATTGCTGTGGCCCACCTGCACCTGGCCTGGCCCCAAACACCGCCATCCTCCAGAAGAGCCCAGGGCTCCGGGAGAAATAGCTGATTTGGGCGGGGCAGGGAGAGACAAGTTGAGCCTGGGACACATGGTTCTGACGGAGTCAAGAAAGGCTCTAACATGTCGGGCGACACCTGAAGGACACAGGAGACAGCGAGCAGGGCTCCCCTCACCAAAGCTGCGACAATGTGAGCAGTAAGATGAGTAAGAAGAGACAATCGTGATAGACCATGAAAATCAGGAGTCCACAAGTCCACTCCAAAAATAAACAGACCTAAATGTCATTTAAATAAAATGAACCAATGCATGAATGGGAAGATTCTCACTTCTAACAATGTGATCACTGGTAAAGGAGTTGGAAAAGCATCACTCTGCAGTTTTTGGAGGCAGACTGTGCAGGTAAGAGTTATAAACGGAAGGCGAATCTCAGGGGGCGGTGAGACACAGGGACTGCAGAGTCCCCCTGTCCCCTACAGTTGGCTCATCAGTGTTTGGGGAAAGGTCACCACATAGCAGACACAGGACAGCCCCTTGCTGGATGATCACATGGGCAGCGCCAACAAGGAGGCCAGTCCAGATGTAACACCCTAAGAAGGGAGCATATCATGCTGTAATCTAGGAATACACAGCCTGAGTTTAATCAGAGGGAATGTCAGATAAACAGAAAATGAGGACAGGGAGCCAGGATGCAAAAAAAACGTGTATGCTGAGCCAGGCGCAGTGGCTCACGGGCGGATCATGAGGTCAGGAGATCGAGACTGTCCTGGCCAACATGGAGAAACCCTGTATCTACTAAAACACAAAAAATTAGCAGGGCATGGTGGTATGTGCCTGTAGTCCCAGCTACTCAGGAGGCTGAGGCAAGGTAATTGCTTGAACCTGGGAGGCGGAGGTTGCAGTGAACTGAGATCACACCACTGCACTCCAGCCTGGCAACAGAGCGAGACTGTCTCAAAAAAAAATGCATGTTATGAGACAAAGGCAGAGCAATCGTCCCACATTCAGAAAGAGAAAAGAGCTACAGCAATTTGATGCAATACGGACCCTAGATGTGATACTGTACCAGAAGAAAATGTTGTGAAGGATTTTATGGGCTCAATTGACAAGAGTGGAAAACCCTGGGAGATAAAAGTGCCGCATCAACATCCAACTTCCTGAGACTGGCCACTGTGCTGTGCTTATGTGGAAGAAGCTTCTTAGAAGCACACATTGGAGCACATAGAGGGAAGTGGCAGAACTGCGCAAATGACCCCCAAGAGGCTCTGTTGGGGGGCACACAGCAGGTGGGGTGGGCGCACAGCAAACGCACAGGACAAATGTTATCCACTGCACACCCATGGATCAACTCCAAAGAACTGGAAACATGCGTCCAAGCAAGCATTTGTTTGTGAATGTCCACAGCAGCACTGTCCACAAGAGCCAACAGGTGGAAACAGCCCAGATGCCCATCAGCTGATAAATGCATAAACAACGTCAGTCTATCTGACAGTGGAATATGACTCTGCCATGAAAAGGAACGAAGCACTGACCACGCTAAGCACTATGGACATGGAAATGCAATGCTCAGTGAGATAAACCAGACACAAGCGC